AGTACAGGAGGCTGCTGGATGGAGAGGCCGTCAGGTGAGCAGTATATATTTCATTTTTTAAAAATCACAGATATAAGGTGACGTGTACCCATCACTAATCCCTGTGGTTCACCCTCACAGCACCTCCTCCACCACCTCCACTCGCAGGGTGGTCATCATCACCAAGGAGATCGTAGATGGCAAAGAGATCACCAGCTATTGACAGTGAACGACCATTTGCTAGAAGATTGTACAAAGAGAAAAAAATAAAGCACCTCTGATGAAGCAACACCAATGTGTCTGAGTGTTTTTAGTAGATGATGAAATAAAATGTTCTTAAAACGTGTGCCTTTACAGCAACAACATCACTGGTTCACCCTTTAGTGGATCTTTCTCTGTGGTGTTCATAAGTTATCACCATGAGAGAGGATGGATGGGATAAGTAAACAAAAACTGCATCATAACAAAAATATGTCGTAGTCTTAGAAAATATATTTTTTTGTTTTCTGGTGAAAAGTTACAAATACAACTCACTTAATGGCGCCTCCTGTGGCATGCTATGTGCGTTACAAACACCCATACAGTGAATATCCCCATTATGGGACAAATGAGTGACTCAATTATTATAATTACTAAACCTGTCCCTTCTAGTCAAGTGGTTTAGGATTTAAAGTGAATAATGAATCTTGCCAAATTTAGATTTAACTAGAAAGTTATCTGAGCTAACACCGTAGCTAGCAAGTGGTACTGGTAATAAATACTTATATATATATACATATATACCTATGTATTTATAGAAATATACTGGACAAAAGTCTTAGTGTACTGTATATATATTTAGAAATATATAAATATATATGTAAAACATATATATATGTATTATGTTTCTTGCACTTGTGTGGGAAATTTCAAAGTTGGTTCAAGACTTTCGCTGACACAGTTGAGTGAAACCGTAAAACAGCACTGACTGGACAGACGTCAATTTAGAGAAACCAAAATAGGTGGCTTAACTATAAAAGCCTTACAGTTGTGTTTCATGCACCTACCAGTGTTATAATGGGTGTATTAGTTACACATTATTTTGATTGATTTTTTTAGTTAACAACAATCCAATAAAGGCCATATCTCATCTACGTGGTTCGGTTTGAGAGAGTGCAGACCTTAAACATCCTTAAACCATGAGGTAATGGCATTGACAGACTCTGACATAAACCAATGAGAACATCATTTTAGGAGTCTCATCCCTCATAGCTAGTATCTTGAACTAAATAAATGTTGAAGTCTTCCTTTAATCCCCTGTCATTATCTTTATCTCTTTAACTTTCCACTGTCAGTTTAAATAGCTGCGTAAACAATAGTGTGTGTGTGTGTGAGCCAGTCTTTCAGGTTTTTCCACATTATTAAACTAATATTGATTCAGCGTGAGACAATATCTTGTCTAAGGCTGAATGAAAGTTCAGCCAAACATGGTTACACAAAGTAAAATATTGGAAACATAAGGGACATCGAGGAACCTTTTTGCAAGTAAAAGACAAAAATTGCTAAAACAAATTGCTAAGAAAATAATAATAGTTGAAGGGTTAGCCAAGTATAATATTTTAAACATAGGGACCCATGTGATACATTAGTTGAAAGCAGACAAACACTGACTGAACTAACTAAAGGTTAACCCACATTTAATAAAATAACTAAATGTTGGACTATCAATTAATATTATAACTATTAGTAATTCAAACAAATGACCATGAAGCAAAGGTTAGTCAAATATTTGATAGAAAAAATAAGTTAAACTAAAAACTAAAATAAGTAAAATAACATTTGATCAAAAACTTGATAAACTAACAAAAGAATTTGCCAAACATTGGACAAAATAAAAAAGTTAATTGTTAGCAAACCATTAATATTATGAAATATTTTGTTAACTAAGCATTGGAAAAATAACTAAATGTGATAAAATAATTGCATTTTAGCTAGACCTTTGATAAAACTGGACAGAAACATGTTTTTTTTCCACCTCTAAGAATGAAATAACACAGGGACAGAAACCAGTTTGTGAAGAAAACTCACCTCCATCTGGACATTACCACCAGTCCAGCAGGTCCAGTGGAGGAGGCCCTCGTCTGGGTGTGTCAGGGGGCGTATGAGGTGACATGGAGAACGGCCCTAAGGCCTCAGAGGACCTGTCCTTCAGGAGGAGCAACAGCCTGAAGGCACTGCTGAAAGGGACAGAAGCCACTGGACCTGATATCCCTCCAAATCCAGCAGCACGCCACCACCCCTGTGGCATGTTTGGCATCTCCACCGGACTGACCACCGCCCAGCTCCTCGGTGTATAAGAGTCGACTCAGTCTGGAAGCTCCTCACTCTGCAGTCTCCAGCCAAGAGAACATCAGCAGCCATGAACACCTTCTCCAACCGCAGCAGCAGCTTCGTCAGGACCTCCGGCGGCAGAGGCCCCGTGTCCATCTCCTCCTCCTCCATCCGCCTCGGAGGTGGCCTGGGATCTGGCAGTGTGTACGGTGGAGCAGGAGGATCTGGAGTACGGATCTCCAAGTCCTTCTCCACTGGCTCCTCTGCTGCTGCTGGAGCTGAGCTGAGCATGGCTGAGGGCCTTACAGTCAACGAGAAGGGCACCATGCAGAACCTGAACGACCGCCTGGCCACCTATCTGTCCAAGGTCCGCTCCCTAGAGAAGGCCAATGCCGACCTGGAGCTGAAGATCCGTGAGTTCCTTGAGAAAAGGACCATGCCTGAGGTGCACGACTACACTCGCTTCAGGGTGCAGATCAAAAGTCTGCAGGACCAGGTAAGCAGGACCAGGATAGGGGGGTGGGGGCAGGAGAACCAGGGGCAAGAGTAGAATAATTCTGTTTCTTCTTTCTCCATTGACAAACCTGCAGCGGAAGAATAATCACATCATTTTGGGTTTCATATTTTACTTAATAAATTAAAAGAAATAACAGATACTTTTATAGATAAAAATTAGAAAAAAAAACACTTTACGTTGTTTTTCTTATTTACTTTTTTCTGCTACTGACAGTTCTCTGAAAAACACTTTCTCAACCTCTAGATCTGTGACGCTGCTCGTCAAAATGCTGCTATCGTCCTCTCCATCGACAACTCCCAGCTGGCCATCGATGACTTCAGAGTCAAGTAAGGAAGGGTGGTAACATGAAGCTTTAAACCTTTGGGATTTGAACCAGAAACCAACATTGGTTTGTTTTTCCCCAGGTATGAGAACGAGCTGGCCATGAGACAATCTGTGGAGGCTGACATCTCCAACCTCAGGAAGGTTCTGGACGATTTGCTGATCGCTCGCAGCGACTTGGAAATGAGGCTGGAGGGCCTGAGGGAGGAGGTGCTGCTGCTAAAGAGGAACCATGAAGAGGTGAGGCACCAGAGCAGGAACCAATCACTGGGGTATCTTTTGACCCATAGTTTTATATGAACCTGTCAGGTAGCTAACCATTAGCCATGTTTTACACTGTATGTTTGGCTAAACAAATAGCAGGCTAACCTTAGATTTAATAGCACCAAAGAAGAGAAAAGGCTGAAGAATGTAAAGGAGTAGTTCACAGAGTTTAAGGATGTCTGACCTTAATTCCTCACTGGTTTCTAAGCCTGGTGTAGAATCACCTTAAATCACACAGTCGCTCCACCATCAGGATGAATTACTGTCTTTTTGACTGAGAATACCAGCATTCCAACTCCTAAAAGTGAAGATGAGTTTCATTCTTATGAGGAACATAATGGTTTAAATCTTTCTTTTTTTAATTCTCTACAGGATCTCCTGGCTCTGCGCGCCAGAGTGGGAGGACAGGTGAACGTGGAGGTGGACGCTGCACCTCAGGAGGACCTGTCAGCCGTCATGGCCTCTATCAGAGAACATTATGAGAATGTGGCTGCCAAGAACCGCAAAGACTTGGACACCTGGTTCCAGGCCAAGGTGAGAAGACACATGCCCACATAGAAACTATAGTTTTTAAAACCAGATGATCCTTTACTTTTCTTAATGATTATTATGAAAAAATATAATAAGAATACAATTTTGTTTTAATTATAATTTATTTTTGTAACTCTACTTATTATTAGCTACATTTTTCTCTCATTATTTTTATTGGTTTTCTGGTGTAATTTACTCCAAAAGCTTTTCAATAAATGGATGACTATTTCATCTTGTTCAGAGTTGATGATGAGGACTGAGTCAATAAAACAAAGTATTATCTGTATGACTTCTGTGAACATTCGCCCCAGTTGTTAATACTAAGACTGATTTGTGCTTCACATTTCACAGATAGCTGAGCTGAACAAAGACATGGCGGCCAAAACCGAGACCCTGGAAACATCAAGGTCCGAGATCACCGAGCTCACAAGGACTCTACAGAATCTGGAGATCCAACTGCAGAGTGAGCTCAGCAAGGTAAGCACAATGTACCTGTTTCCTTGGTGACGTCATCTGCTGATGTCATCCATGCTGAGTCTGAACACTTCTGACGACTCCTGCCCCTTTACTTCATTCCACAGAAAAATGTTCTGGAAGGATCTCTGGCTGAGACCAAGCTCCGCTACAACAACATCCTGGCAGGGTACCAGAGGCAGGTGAGCGCTCTGGAGGAGCAGCTGGCTCAGCTGAGAGCAGACCTGGAGCACCAGGGCCAGGAGTACAAGATGCTGCTTGACATCAAGACCAGGCTGGAACTGGAGATCGCAGAGTACAGGAGGCTGCTGGATGGAGAGACCGAAAAGTGAGCTTTAGTTTATGAAGTAGAGTTTAATTGGACTTAGTCACTGTAGAAGATCTGAAGATGGATTAGATCATGTACTCTTGACTGATTTTGGATCCTGTATTTTTCCTCTAGAACCACCACCACCACCACCACCACCAGGACAACCAAGGTAGTGACCATTGTCCAAGAGGTGGATGAATTCGGAAATGTGATCAGCACCGAGAGTTAGATCAAAAGATAAAGAAGAAAATGAAAACAATATATAAAGTCTGTCTTTATCAGAAATAAAAAAAATAAGTTCATTTAAACCGTACTCTAAAGTGTATTCCTCATGTTATCTGCACTACACCACCTGTAATACAATCAGAAAATAACCATCCAACAGACAAGAGCTCAAAACAAATAAGTCCAAGTGAAGTTGACAACTTTTTTGGATGTACAAAAATCAAGTAGGATGAAAAAGTAAAAATATTTTCAGTTAAATAACAGCCGACAAACCAGGGAGAATCGTTTCTGTAAAAACGAAGGTAAAACCTTAAAAACTAAAGGTTACTTCACAAACACGTTACAAGATTAAAGACTAAGAAAAAATACTGACCCCTTGTGGCCGAGCTGTCCTGTGTACTGGCTGTTCTCAAATGTGCACAAACAGCGCCTCTCATTGGAACACCTGTAGAGGTGCACCAGGGTTTTATTACAGTTGGGTAAAGCTGGAAACACAGACTTACTTCCGCTGACTCTTTATAAATTTATTACAAATATCAGTTCTATATGTGGCGTGTACTTTCCTTGTTTTATGATTTTTTTATGATTAGTGATAATAAAAGGCGAAAGCAGTGGTTGTGTTTTGACTGTTGCTAATTGACGACAAATGTTTTTTTAATTATTTAAAATGTGTTTTTTCAGGTGGAACAACCATGACTTTGGTTTAAATTTAATTAAATTTTAATTTCGAATATATTTTTTAAGTACTTACGACAATTTGTCAACAAAGCATCGTTTAAAGGCGCTAGTACGGTAGCAGTTTATTCCCCAATCTGTCACTAACGGCTGTTCCATCACCATCGTCGCCATTTCGTGAAAGCTTATATCTTAAAATTAACTTAAGAAAATACTACACGTGCCTCCGACTTTTCCAATTGGGAAAAATGTCGACCTGCTACGATGTTACGATGTTTTAACCAGCGTTTCAGTCGAAGCAACTTAGATGCTCACCGGGTTGGCTAACGGCTTTCTCGAATCTTCTGTAAACTTCAACGACTAGTGCACAGTGACCGTTGAAGTCAGTTTAACCAATAACGGTAGACGTCACAGAGGGGCGCTGTTTCCCGTGTACAACACACACGAACGCTTCACTCACAACAACAACAACAATACACACACAAACTCTTCAACAGAAGTAGACTGTGCGTAATCTTCTCAGTTATGGTTTAAAAAGAAAATTAATAAAATATTGAAAATATCTAAAAACAATACTTATATATAATATATATAATATAATATATATACATATATATAAAATAATATATATATATAGGTTAGGGTTAGTGGTTAAGGAAGAGGACTTCAGGGTCCTGAAGGTTTCAGGTTTGAGTATATATTCTATATATATATATATATACTGTATGTGCACTGAGTGTGTGTGCACATACAGCATACTTATGTGAGTGATGAGTGTACATATCTGTGGGTGTGCATATGTGTCTGTGCATACTTTTTGTTTGTGTGTTAATGTGTGGGTATACATGTGTGTACATGCGTGCACTAGTGTGTGTGCGCGTGTGTTGTGTGGTAATGTGTGCGTGCACTAGTGTGTGTGCGCGTGTGTGTGTCATGTAAGGGGTTAAAATGTCCTTTGTTCTCTAATCTTCCTCTCATTCCTGTATGGTCCTTTCACTCAGGTTCTGATCAAACTTGCTGACACACCCCAGACGCCGTGACCCTGCTCAAAATGTCAGCTATAGAGTGGGCGTGGTCAGAGTGAGTGACAGCCAGTGCTATTCTCATGTCATTCACCTATAGAGTGGGCCATGGTGTTGACAGGAAAACAGTGCCACAGGGCGTAGAAACTGGTTTCTGGTTCCATCTCTGCCGCTCTGATGAGGGTGTGAACAGTGTGTAATGACAGGTTAGATGCCGTGGGCAGGAGGTGTGGTGAGGCAAAGGTAGAAATTAAGGAGAAAGGGGACAGAAAGGAGGTTAAGGAGGAGGATATTGAAAGGGAGCCAGGAGGACCTGGTCCCTCAGGTTTGCTCTCAACCTTTCTTGTTTGTCTGTTGTTATTTGATCAAGATCAAGATCTGATCCTTTGAGCCACGTATCAGGCAACTGTTTTAAATCAGCCTTTTACTACGTGCAGAATGTTATCAACAATAGACAAGAATATGAATACTATTACATTTAAATGCTTTAGAATGCTGAAAAATGAGCTCCTAAATTTGACCACAGCTCCCAGTCCTGGCTTTTCTTCACTGACCCCCAGTAAAATCAAGGACAGACTTTAAAATCCACCTCCTCCCACCGTATATTGTCCATCTAATGAGACCCTGTCAGCCACACTGATCACTTTGCTCTACAAACACAGGCCTACCTACAGTTCCCAAGGTGTATAAGAGTAGAATGAGAGAGGGATCTTTGAAAACCTAAAAACCTTCCTTTTATAAAAGATGCCGCTGCTTTATAGGCCAAGTCTGCTGGAGGAACGCCCATGATGCACTGAGCACTTTCTCTCCCCATAATCTTTTAAGAAACAGGGTGTCATGGCAATAACCTGGTCTCCCCTCTGTCCACTGGTTTGTCTCCCTCGTCTCCCTCCCTGTCACCATCCTCACCCCACAGGCTGATGTGATTTTTTTTATACTGTTGTCCGTACCTGATCAAATCGAACTCACAAGCACAACTTCTTTTATATTTTGGTTTGGCCAGCTCTTGAACTTGAATGGACACATGTCTCCTCCGACGCCTCCTATCTGTGGCCCCTTGCGTAACCCATGCCTAATTTTTCTACCTGATAATGTGGTTCGACCTGCAGCGCAAGCAGGTTTGAAAGTGACATATTTTCTTCTGACAGCCTGACACGCAACACACCTCCCACAGTGACATTCCTAAGCCGTGCCCAGCCTCACCTCAGCTGCTGATTGATTGATTGCCCTGTGATAACCACTGCTTTAAAAGGATGTGTCGCCTTCAGCCTCTTCACTCTGGTCTCTAGCCTCAGGACAAGAAACATCATCAGCAGCCATCATGACCTCACATGTCATCTCTTCCCGGTCCATCAGGACCTCCTCCAGCAGCAGCAGCCTCGGAGGCTTCGGTGGTGGCAGAGTGGTGTCTACTGGCAGCGTCTATGGCGGAGCAGGAGGCCAAGGCGTCCGCATCTCCTCTGCCGGACGCCTGGGAGCAGCGGCAGCAGGTGGTGGCTTCAGTTCCTCCATGAGCTACAGCTTGTCGGGCACAGATGACAATATCGTCGGCAGCGAGAAGTTCACCATGCAGAACCTGAACAACCGCCTGGCCACGTATCTGAGTAAGGTTCACGCTCTGGAGAAGGCCAACGCTGACCTGGAGCTAAAGATTAGACAGTTTGTGGAGAGCAAGGTCGGCCCCAGCACCAGAGACTACACTGCCTTCTTCGCCACCATCGCTGACATCACTGGCAAGGTGAGTCACATGATTGAGTTATTTGAATAAAAAATTTAAAAATGCTGTAACTTTTCTTTAACTGAGCAGAAATGATTTCTTTGTGTCTGTTCCTCCAGATCCAGGTTGCCGTCAGACTCAACGGCGCCGTACATCTCAGCATAGACAATGCACGATTGGCTGCCGATGACTTCAGGACCAAGTGAGTCTGGAATGTTTTTGTTTTTTTTTAGTTTAAAAATATTCTTCAAACCATTTTACTTCTGGTCCTCAAACCTGATTACTAAGATTTTGAGCCCACTCAGTCAACAAAGCAAAAAATATATGCTAAAAACTGATCTGAGCTGCCAACTTAGCTGAACATCTGCCTCCTCAGGTACGAGAATGAGCTGACCATGCGCCAGTCGGTGGAGGCTGACATCAATGGTCTGAAGAGAGTCCTGGAGGAGATGAACCTGGCCAAGGCAGACCTGACTCTGCAGATCGAAGGCCTGAAAGAGGAGCTGCTCTACCTGAAGAAGAACCATGAGGAGGTGGGTTCAGTCAGTCAGTCAGTCAGTCAGTCAGTCAGTCAGTCAGTCAGTCAGTCAGTCAATTGTTTGAACAGTCAATCAACATTGTTTGTTTGTTTGTTGTTTTGGACAGGAGCTGCTGGCCATGCGCACTCAGATGAGCGGACAGGTGAACGTGGAGGTGGACGCGGCTCCAGCTGAGGATTTGAACAAAATCATGACAGAGATCCGAGAACACTACGAGGCCATTGCCGCCAAGAATCAACGTGATTTGGAGACCTGGTTTACAACCAAGGTAAGGCTGAGGCCATGACCCCTGAATGACCTGAGACTTTACCTGGTTAGCATTATGACTGGTTTATATCTTTAACTGGTCAGCAGGATTGTATATTAAGGGTCAACAAAGAGGGCTAGCATTGGCATTTACTGACCAACGTTGTCATGTGACTTCTGTGCAGACTGAGGCCCTGAACAAAGAAGTTATCACTCAGACAGCAACGCTACAGACAACCCGCTCAGAGGTCACGGAGGTCAAACGTACACTGCAGTCTCTTGAGATTGAGCTTCAGTCCATGTTGGGAATGGTGAGTGTGTGTTGACCTATCCTAACTATCCTAACGAGCTCAACTGAACCCCACATAGGTAAACCCCTTCTACTCACCTCATTCTGATCTTCTGACCGGGGTCTGACTGTCGTGAACTTTTGGCTCTTATCCATCTCCTCCACAGAAAGCATCTCTGGAAGCTTCCCTGGTTGAGACACAGAATCGTTATTCCATGCAGCTCTCTGGATACCAGGTGCAGGTACGGTGTGGTTTGATTGAACCTGGATATGTTGATCCTAGATGGAGTCAGATCCTGATTGGGTTTTTTTTTTCTGCTGCAGGTGACGTCTCTGGAGGAGCAGCTGGCGCAGCTGAGAGCCGACATGGAGCGACAGTCCCAGGAGTACCAGATGCTGCTGGACATCAAGACCAGGCTGGAGCTGGAGATCGCCGAGTACAGGAGGCTGCTGGACGGAGAGAGGTGAGGAGTCGGAAACACAAACGACAGACGACAGAATTTTCAGAACCACATCCCAAAAACCTTGGGTTAAAATTGTATACGTTTCAGCAAATGATCTTACTTTGGTCTCCTCTGATTGGTCCACAGCCTCACCACCTCAACAACGACCACCAAAACAAAGCGAGTGGTGGTGATAGAAGAGGTGGTTGATGGGAAAGTGGTGTCCTCCTCCACCTCCTCCTCTTCTTTCTCCACTTCCTGAGAGAGACGGAGAGACTCCACTCCTCCTGCTCAAACAGGATCATCTGATCATGTGATCAATAAAGAGATTAAAAAAACAAACCCAACAGCGTCAATGTCCAATTTCAAACTGCAAGTCTTTCATTTGTCAATCCAAGATATAAGGTATAAACTGGGGATTATGCAAATCAAACCAGTCAAGATAGAAGAAATAAAGTTTAAATTAGATTTATTAATTAATAAATTTAAGTTCATTCCAGTGGGTTCGTGTTTAGAATAGGGTTCCAGTTTTTAAATGTTCTAATTTTCTAGTTGTAAAAATGTGTTTATTAATAATAATAATAATAATATAAAAAAATAATAATAGAGTCCCTATTTTGTCCCACAGTGGCAGAAATTAGTGCAAGTCGTTGCACCGACAAAGGGTGCCACAGGAGGCGCAATTAGGGATATGTGTTTCCTCTGGATTTAATTAGATTTCTTATGAAGTATGAAGGGAAAAAATAAGACAATAATAAAATAAAATAAAAAATAAAATAGTAAATGCCAAAACAAGAAGACATTCAGGACCTCAGCCTGTGAGGTCAGGATGAGGTCAAAAAACCTGATGAAATGGGGGAGGAGCCTAGCTTCAAAGTCAGGAAGAGGAAATATCAGGTGCAGAATCAAACCTCCCTGTGTCTTAATCCTCCACCCGCCTCACTCTCATTTACACACATATTCTGTCCTGCTCCTGCTGACCTTCATTCCACCTGTGGCTGCTCCACAGAGTCAATGTCAAACGCAAACATCGTGCTCTATGGCGCCTCCTGCTCATCATCTGTCAACCTGTCCATCTACTGTCCACAGCAAACAAAAACGGTCTTAGAGCTGCACACTGATGTAAGCCTATTCCTACCTTGAACCCCTCAGTCACTCTGACAGCACATCTAAATCACCACCCTCACATACTCCTTTGCCACACCTGACTGTCTCATACAGTTCCACACTTTGTACTTTCTGTTAGTCCAATAAAAACCTTCTGACCTTCTCAGAAATAAACGTATACATCTGTAGTTACTACACCTCTGCACATCACTCCTGTTCTTGAAAACTGGTACCAGTACTTTTTACATAAAAATTCTGAATTAAAAGTATAAAAACTGCATTCCAAACACAAGACTTTGCTATTCGTGTGGGTCTTTTCTCTTTACTGCCCCCTGCTAACCCTGAAAGTACTTTTGGTTTCTTGGTCAAGCTGCACTTCACAAGGTCCTTGTGCTTCTTTGCTGCCCCCTGTTGGTCTTGCTGTGCCATGATTTTCGTTTTGGAACTGCTGGTCCTCTCGGTCCTGTTGCACTTTTCTCCCACCTTGCTTATCGTCTGCAGGTCTTGTTGGTCTTGTTGTCCTTTGCCGCCCCCTGCTGGCCTCAACGCAGATCTACGTAAGTGAAGGCTGATTGGCAGCTCTGCAGGCGTTGAGATGATGAATTTCTTCTTCCTGGTTGACATTCTTCTTCCAATTGCACACGAACCTGGTTCTTGCAGGGACCAGGGTTCAGATTTAGCACAGACCAGGCTGCAGAATAAAGTTGGCTCCAGCACAAACCTGAACCTGGATGGTCTTGATAGAACAACCCTCTGTGACTTCTGTTCTGACATGTCCTGGAAGAACAAGATTAGGAACCACTTTTAGAATAACGGCATCAAACACTGTTAGAACCAGACCGAGACCGAGTCAAAGGAACATAACATAAGGTAGAAGAAAAAAAAGTCAACGGAGAAAATCAGTGATTTTAGCTCACAGACCAAAGTCCATGGAGAAACTCAGGGATTTCATTTCCCAGTGAGACATGGATTGCTGGTCTAGTGAATCAACAACTGCCCTCTCTCCAAATCTATTCATTCATCTCAATGGACTTTTCTGAAGGAGCATTGGTGTTCAAGGTGATATCGCAGTGAAAACAATGAACTAGTGCCCAGAGGTAGAGGCCAATGACAGATGAGCTATGAGAGTCTGCTGGTCTATTGTGAGCAGAGGATTTATTTTCATGCACCAGCAAAACGTGAACCTGATTCTGGTTTTGAACAAATGTTCTGTTTCAGCACAACTGAAATCTCCAGAGCGCAGCCACTCCCCGACCAAACGCTGACTGCATTCCACTGAAAACTGAACTGAACTTGATTTATAACCAAAACGATAGACACACACACAAATACCCACACGCGCACACACATGCACACACACCCATGCATAGATACAAGAATGGAAACACACACACACACACATAGGTTAAGTCTGCAACCTTTCATGAACATGTACGTGACTGGAGCCTGGACTTTTTTTTTTCCTCTTCAGGGCCAGAGGCAGATTTTGCATCAAAACCAAAACTGAGTTTGAACTTGTTTTAGATGAAAGTTCTTCAGCAGCAGCAGGAACCGCTGCAGCACTGACACAGAGCTGTGCTCTCAACAGTGGACCCTGGGAAAGACAGGGGGGGCAGCTGGTCCACTGCTGCCTCCTGTGGTCAGTTTGTGTCCACATCACAAAATAACAGACTTGAACTTAGCGACAGATCAACAAGTGCTGTGTCTCTGCGAGCAATTGCAAAAAAAAGAAAAATTTAAAAAATGAACCCCTCCTCAGCTTTAGTTAATGATGTCGTAAAATGTATCCGCAGTTAAATTAATCTGCACTTATTGTTTCTACACTCAAGGTGTTTTGGGACTAAGTAACCAATAAGGATTGGGATTAGACTGTTTCTTTTCCCAGTGGTGTAAACACACGAGTTCAAGTTCAAGTCTGAACTGCGTTTCCTAACAAACAATAAGTCATCTTAAAAACAAAAAGCCTTCTCTGGCAGTTTGGTGACCTTTCAGCAGCTTCGGCATTAAATGGATTATAAGATTTGAGCCCAGCCCCTACCTTGGCCCCGCCTTGGCCTCGGGCTGGACCGGGCTGGGCCGGGCTGGGCGGTCTATCAAACTCTTATGTAAGTGCACGTCTGACCCCGGAGCCCATGACTGGTATTAATGAGACAGTGAATGTAATAGTTTCATCTGACAGTTAGCTCCAGGCTAATTCTTAATAGACAACATGAAGGAACAAAAAGTCTATTCACCACAGCCAATCTTTTCTCGTGTGATTTTTCAAAAGCTTTAAAAATGTTTTTTCTCAGGTTTTCACTCTGACCAATCAGTACCTGGAATTCATGGATAAGTTACCGTAGTTACTGAAGCTACGGTAACACAGTTGTCCTAGTTTCTGTTGCTGGTCCTATCCCTAGTATCTGGTTCTGGTTCTGCTTCTAGATCCTGGCTCTAGGTCCTGGTCCTGGTCCTGGTCCTTTGACAGGGTTTAAGTTCTATTCCTGCTCCAAGGTTCTCGACCTGTTTCTGTTCTTAGGTTCTGGTGTTATTACCATTCTTTACTCTTGGACCTGGTCCTAGAAACACATTTGAGTTTTTTTAATATGCTTGTTGCCTTTCTGATGAACGTTGTCACCGAGTTGTCAACCAGGAGCTGCTGCTGCTTCTTCTTCTTCTTCTTCTTCTTGTCTGGACTTGTTCCTGTTCTGTTTTCTGAGAACATTCGTTGAACTATTAGGAAAATTGAGTAGATGTGAGACCTGGAGTCGACGGTTTGAATCCCTACAGAAGCAGCTGTGAGACTGAACGTAACCTGCAGCTACGAACGTTCCTGAAGCAGCGAAAGTACAGGAAAGTGAAGGGCCACGAGCCTGGAGCAGCGACGGAGTCTGGACACGCCCTGAACACCCACCTGCTCCAGCTGCAGCCGGGAGA